AAAGAGTGACATTACTGAATAAACTTCTCCCTCTGCTGCTCTAGAGAGGTTGGAACAAGCCTTCAGAATGCAAAACATTCCTAAGTGTAGCTTCCACTATAGAAAAAGGAAAGCAGGCTGCATTTCAGGAGGGATATACTTGTGTTCTAGCTCAAGAAGAAGATCACAGACTTGCAAGTAGAACAGGCACTACCAACAGGCCTAGTAGCTGCAATATTTTTCCAGGGTCCAAAAAATATTTTTCCCGTGTTCCAGGGTCTAGAACACTAGATTAGCACTTTGTGTTCTCCTAGCTGGTACTCCAGTGCTTCCTTTGAGTGCTCCCAGATCTGACAGACATTAGATGAAGACAGCTAAATTCCAGCCTTCCTTTTTTGGCTGACAGTTGTAAATGAAAGTTCTTGGGGAACCTCTAGGATGTAAGCATCCCCTAGAGTAAAGGTTACATACTGCAAAGACACACACAAGTATTGCCTGTTGTTGTTATCAAGCCATAAATAATTTTCTTCCCTCAGGCACAAGCAGTTCCAAAAGAGAAATAAAGCACTGAACACAAGCCATCTTCACATCGCAGTGATCAAACAAGGTAGGAGCCAGGCAATAAAAATGAAAGCTTCTCCATCTGGAGAGTTACAAACCCTCCACAGATCAGCTGGCAAAGCAGGTAGCAGCCATCGATACACAGTTGAGATAATTCTCTTCAACCCCACTAAAGCTTTGCTAAGTATCTTGGAGGCCTGACTGCGAGTCCAAAACAGCAGACAAAACCTACTGGGTCCAGCCTTGGGGGACACCCATTCCAGGAGCTATTGGTACTGTTGGACCCACTGAATTACTGTAGTCAAGACAACAGATAAACCTGCTGTATGGTTTGTCTCGGATGAGCAGCTTCAGTTGGGGCAGTTTCTCTTCTGCAAGAGGAAAAAAATCCCCAGCTTCAGATGCTGAGTACAGGGGGAGGAACAAGATTCTTCTCACAGTTGAGCGGTTTTCCTTCCAAATTTCAGAGAAGCCTCTAAAAAGTTTAAGCCAGCTTGGCTAGAGATACTAGCTCACTTGGTGTACCTCTCCTCCAGCACTGCATCCACCAGAGTGTCTCTGCTCTCACTCAGCAACACAAACAACCCTCTGTAAGACACTGCCAAACTAGGGGCAGCTATTAGGAGAATTAGAAGTGGGAGGGGAGCAAACTAGCTTTCTAAGAAAAAAAAGTGTTATTTTAACATTTCCTGAAGTGAGGCAATCATGCAGGGCTCTTGCCAGCTACAGTCACAACACTTACTCACAACCAAGGACCTCATCTGGCATAGAAAATAGACCGTGAATCTGATCTGGTTTAAAAATAAGGTTACTGGCCATAAGCAGCAAGGCTTCAGCTAGAAGATGAGAGGGAAGGCTCACATACCCTCTGGGTTAGGGATCAATTCACCAGCTTCCCTACAGGTTTTTAATACTAGTCCAGGGTATGCCATTGGAACAGTGAGCTCAAATCTTGTAGTTCTTAAGTAAAAAGAGGCAAGACTACTTTTCCTTTCCTTCCCTCCTTTTTTTCCAAGTATGGAGAAGAAAATGCCTGAGGTTCTTTAAAAGTCACATCCCAATGCACATTACTAGGCATTGCACACTATTCAGGGACCTCAGATGTACAGCACTGACAGAAGTTGGTTCGTCCAACAACCGCCATTTAAATAAGGTTCAATCACATTATCAGCTGGTAAGGTAACCGAGACATCCTGCAAGTTAAATAAGTACCATCCACAAGATCAAAACAGAGCCTGAATTACGTAAGCCAGCTGGTCAACAGCTGAAAATAAGCAAGTAACAGCAAAACCAGTCAAGGGATGGCACAGTCACTGGATGCCAGCCCATCACCCTCCCCAACACATTATTTAGTTGTTCTGCCCCACAGCTCAGGTGCTTGGTCCCAAGCATTCCCATGAGAGAGGCACTCCCGGCCTCTAAGGACACAGGCTCCCTTGCTGTGTACACCCAAGGAACAGCAGTATCTCAAACCAAGGGATCCCAAGAACAAGTTGATGCAGACATGAGCTGAGCTGCTGGTGTACCAGTTCAAGTACACTGTTGTAACTGTCTTCCAGAGACTTTGTCACAACATTGCAACAAATCCTACAAACCCACCTAGTAAGTTGCTTGATCTACTTTTTCAACTCCACACATGTATTGCGTGCAGTTATTCAAGGGTTTAAGAGCAGTTCCTCCCAATCATCCCACTGTCCCATCTTTAAGCCCTCAAGCCTGTGTGTACTCGAGCTCTCAGTTTTATACCTCAAAATTGACACCAACTCTGTTACGAAGGGATGTGTGAAGTCACTCTAACAGGTGTCTTTTCTGGGAAAGGCACATCGATGCTGACCAGAAGCAACAATTTTTTAAAAGTTTCAGTGCAAGTCATTTGCTCAGGCTGGGATAAAAACCATCAGGCTGCTGAGACAGAACTGAATCATGTGTCCTACAGAAAGAACCAGATGCACTACCTGGCATTCCCAAGGGCTATGGCACATGGACAAAAGCTGTCAACAAGGCACTGGCTAAAGCATACTTGGAAGTCTACAGGCAAATTCAGCTGTTGGAACTTTGATTAGGATAAAGGAACAAAACATTGGCAGAAGGAGGAGAGGCAGAGATTTCCTGAGCACTGTACGGGACATGTGAGAACACTGCATAGGAAGCAAGAACCAAAACAAAGCAGACTGCCAGGCTGCAGGAGTATTGGTGCAGACCAGCTTTGAAGTACAAAATGCTCAAGAGAAGTAAGGGAATACAATTCTGTGCTCTTCGTTAGCAAAACAATGCCTTGTTCATTTTTTTTTTTTTGCCTTTGCCAACATAAGCTTCATTGTATTTCTCTCAAGGCTGCTGCAACCAGAAAAGGGAATCACCACAGGGAAAGACAACAAGGATTTCTGAAGCACGTGAGATAGGATACCACCTCACCGCCTGCTCCAAAGAGAAAGCCGCCTTTCCTGAACACAAGCACTACTCTCACTTGCTTTAGATATGCCTCTTCCCGGGCAGACCAGTAACACTAGATGAAGGACAATGGCCAGAATAAAGAAGAGAAAGGGATAAACCAGAAAAGACTGGAACAAAGGGGTCTTGATTAGAGTGAGAGCAGGTCAGATCCTGAGCACCACATGCCAAGATTTAAGTGCAACATAGCTCCTATTAGGGCAGGGCAACGATTCCTGCTCAGAGCTGGCCCTGCTCTTCCTGGCACTAGCCTGGTCTAGAACTGCAGAGCAGCGCCTTGCCCTACAGTCACGAAGCACAACTATGCCCTCATTTTTCAAAAGGAAAAGGCTCTTCATGCACAAGACAATACAGGCACTCTCCCTCAGCAGGACAGATACAGAAGAGCTTACCCTCTTAAATTAACGGATTAATGCCCCAGGCAGTTTGATACGAGACACAGCCAGCCATAAATGAAAAGATATGCTAGGGAATTAGCTACTTCAAAACCTTTGAACTGTAACAGGTTTAATTACAAATGTAAGCACTGAAAGTGCTTTTATCTGTCATATCACCAGCTCAGGCTTGCTGCAGTTCTGCTCTGCTTTATAAACATAAGCTCATCCCCATAATGCTCTGTTCTGCTCCCATGCTATTTTCAGTTTTATTGTTAACCTTCCAGGCTTAAAAGCTTTGGAACAAAATTATAAGAGAGTATCTCAGAGAAAAGTATTCACTGCTATCTTCAGTGAACATTAGGTCTCCCCTCAGTTCAGCTGTTCAGAGCAAGTAGGCAATTTGCCATACCAGAAAGATACGCCAGGCTTCAAAACAACTGCTTGCTGCCAATAGATCAAGGCAGGAGACAGCAAAGACATTTCAATGGAAGGTGTTTGAAGTCCCTGCTGCTGAATGGGGAGAACGCAGCTCTAAAGAAAAGAATGTATATCACAGAGCAGAGTTGGCGTCCACCTTCTTCTGTTTAGGCATTGACATGAACCATGCCTACCACAGACCTCTCCAGCCGAGGCAGTCATCTTGATTTAGTTCACCAAAATGCTGTGTACAGCAGAGCAGTGCCATACTCCGTGCCTATGGCCAC